TTGCGAGGTTGTTATCTTCAGGGTCGTGAGATAAGTCGAGGTGTGCACAAGTTGGTCTGGGCTACCAGGGTTACAAAAAATGAGTTGTTTTGGGGGTTATTACAAGAAGTACAGTTGGCTGCAATGATCGATAAAGAATCTATGAGAAGGATGCAGCATGTTCTCAGCTCGATCTACATATCACTTTCTTTCTTAGAATCTCTCTTCTTTAAGATCATGTGAAATTATTTTACTCCGTTGATGAAAATGAAGCTAGTGAAAGACRAAAAACTCCAACTAAATTACTTTGGAGAATCTTGATCTAACTAAAACTTCGAAAWGTAAATCTCGGACCATACAAAGTGCAGAAACACTTGGTATACAWAGAAATATAACACAACCACACAAAGATATGCAAGTAACATGTACAAACAAAAGAAAAAGAGACGTATTTATGTGGAATCCCAAAACCGGAACAACCCATGTGGTGGAGGGTTAGAAGACCATTATGTATTCGGTTGAAGGGGGTGTGTTGGAACCCCATGGACTTTTTCTTCTTAATATATGTTGGGATCTCCTTTTCTTTTGCTCAAAGGTTTCTTTTACGAGTAATCTAATAAGATTTTGCATATGAATGCAGGTTCATTATGTATTTTATGTCATTTATTATGGTAACAATCCAATTTAAGAGTGAGGTTATGRAAATGATCGGCTATCTAACCTAAATAGTCCATTCTTGCCGTCTTGGTCTAATCCGGGCTGTTCCATTTGATTCGGGCTTTTCGTCTGGTCCGATAGAAAAGTGCAAAATTATAAAAAATCATACTCGGGTCGGGTCGGGGTTTGTGGAGGAAACTTTGGTTTTTTCATCTCTAATTTTTCGAAATTACGAGGAACGCCATCCAGGTTTGTAATTCATTACGAAATGGTCTGTTAACTGCATCTTTTATGTGAGGGTTTTTTTACATGTTTTCATTAGCAAAAAGCCGTTAAAAAAGTTCTGTYAAATGAGATACTTTTTCGTTCTTTTATTGATTTGTTTTTTTTTACTCAATCAAAATCGATTTTATAATTWTGATCTATGTGGTTTTTGGTTGTATAAAAGACAAAAAAATAGATAAAAAGACAAAAAATACTTCTCATTTAACTAATTTTTTAACGGTCATTAGAGGAAGGGACCAAATCCGAATGTTTCTGTAAACCCCGACGACAATCTTGTAATTTAAAACAGTAAGAATGAAAAGTGTTATCTTTAACAAACCATATGGACCAAATTTGTAGTTTACTCTAAAATTTTCTTTACCACTTTTATATTTACATTCTATGTACTAAAAAACAGGTAAAAACACACCATAATGTCGAGTCGTAGCTTTGCAGCATGATAAAGCCCGT